GGGAGCCAGGAGTGGAGCGCCGAGTCCACCTCTGCCTGGTGAAGCTGCCAGGAGGAGGGCAAAGAGAACAGCTCCAGGGGACGATCCTCCGCGTGGAGTCCCTCACCAGCCATGCCACAGCGCCCGTGGAAGGCACCATGGCACTCAAGGTGATTGACTTCTGGGATCAAGACATTTCTCAGTTTGAAACCCAGTTTAAAAAAATCGATGCTTCGCATTCAGCGGTGTTTGGTTAAAAAAAGAAAAATAGCTGCAGCTTGTATTTTAACGGCAGGGGAGAGGGGGAGGCGCCAACAAAGAACAGGGCGTGAGCGCCATCAATTACGACAGGGAAACGATGGTGTCTCGCGGCGGTTTTGTTCCTGCTACACCAGAAATATGAAGTGGTTTAGCCCTGAGAACCGGCGTGTGGTCAGCAGCAATGTCTTCATCGGCAAAGCGTGGGCATCGGAGCCGCAGGGCAGCGTGTGCGCGTCCTCCCAGACAGACGTTGGGGGCCCAGGCCTGTTGCCTCTGGGGACCCACCAGCTGCTTGACCCGGGAACCCCTCAGAGGGAGCCCCGAGTCACCCACAAGGCCTGACCTGCACGCGTCCTACAGGGAGGCTCCCCAGGCTGTTAGACCGGGCTTGAGAGCGTCGCCCCTTTGGCTCCAGCGTCTAGTAAAATCCTGTGACAAGCATGCTTGCCTCTCCGGCCTCAGCCTAGGCTCACCTGGGGCTTGTGCAAGTGTCCTTAGCCCTGGCTGCTCACTGGAATCACCTGGCTTTTTAAAAGTTCCAATACTGGGCCAGCAGGTGGTGTGGTGGTTAGGACAGCTGGATCCCACGTGGACGACTTTGAGGTTCGAGTCCTAGACCTGGAGGCTTGAAAAACATGCTGGACCCATTTATGTGCATGCCCAAAATCCTCAGAGGAGAAGGGATTGCAGCGTGGCATCCTCCAGGGAGTGATTTCTCACTTCTTCTCTTTGTTTTTTGTCTCTCTGGCAAACATGCATGCCCTATAGCAAAACAAACAAACAAAATTGCAATATTCAAGCCATACCTCAGACCGATTAAATCAGAATATCTGAGGATGGGACCTAATTATCAGTATTTTTTTTTTTAAAGCATTTTGAGTGAGTCCAATACTTAGCCAAGATGGAGAACCAAACAAGGTAGAAATTCCCAGTGGGCCTGTTCCGAGCAAGTTTGACCCTTTAAATGTCCAGTTACACCTTCTCCCCAGCTCTGTCTGCCCTGCCAAAGTTCAGATGTGGGAAGAGGGCGTCAGAGCAGAGCTCTGGCTGTCCTGGACGGGTCTCGTAGCAGCCATACTTCCCCTGGGATGCCAGCATTGAGTCCCACAAGACAGAGCCAGGGTCAGACACTCAGCTCAGACTGTCCCACAAGACAGAGCCAGGGTCAGACACTCAGCTCAGACTGACCGTGCCGAGAGGCACCTCCGTCTTTAACTTTCCACTACGCTGGCTTCCTCCTGTTGCCCAGAGTAAACAGAGTGATTAGGAGTCGACTGTCTTTGCTAATTAGCCCGAAATCTTTTTGTTTAGATGTTCCTTAGCACTGTAACTACCAAACACCAGACCCTGCCCGGAGCCATGGGGGCCATTAAACAGAGGCCTGGAGAATGCCCTTAGAAATGATTAAGCTGCTCGATCCGACTTCCGTAACTGCTGCCGCATAGGAACCCACTCCCTTTCCTCTCCACCCTCCTCAGTTCCCATTGTAACCACCAGGTCAACTCAGAAATGACTGTGATTCTTGACTTTATAAGCACCCCTCTCCTTTCACTTGGGACTGTGGGGTCTTTGGGACACCTGAGTCCTCCTATAAGCCGCCGGCGGCAAACTCCAATAATTTGGCTGCGTCTGGACGTCCTCTTATTTCTTGGGGATTTGACTACAACAACTAGACTCTCAGAAGCCTGATGTACACGTCACTTGTCACCTATTAGAAAAGGGCTGTGTATTCCCACGACTAGAGCTTATAGTCAGCATTCAGAGAAACTTCTTTCTTTCAGTAACCAAACCAAACCAAAATAATTGCTGTATGTTTCCTTTCTATCGTTATTTTTCCCACACACATTTTTTAGACCCTAGAGTGAAATGATTCTTACGATTTATTCATCCTTCAGTGATTTCCTATGTAAATACGTAATGTTCATAACCATCTTGCAGAAAGTTCCAGCAAAGGATAATACCACCGTTTATCCAGCAATGTTCTGATGTTGAAACTTCGGATATTCTACAGGTTTCCCTATTTTAAATCATGCATCTAGTCATGTCCACACCAGCACGTGACTCTCAGGCCTGACCCTGAGGTGGGACTCCTGTGCCACAGACGTGATCATTTTCCAGAGATATAAATAGGCGTTAGGGGTCAGGGGAAGCGCCATGACTAAAGTTCAAACTCAAAGGTGGGGTAAAGACAGTTAAAATACATTTCTTTACAGCAGGACCTTTGTAAAAAGAAAAACTGAGTCAACTTGAAGTTAAAAAAGGTCTTTGCAGGGACCAGCAGGTGGCATAATGGTTACATCACTGGACTCTCACATAGTTGGCCACAGCTCGAGTCCCAGACACGGCTTAAAACTCACACTGGGTGCATGTGTGTGCATGCCCAAGATCCTGAGAGGGGAATGGAGGAGAAGGGACTGTGGTGTGGCCATTCCCCCAGGGGGTGATTTCTTGCTTTCTGTCTGTCTCTCTGATAAGTACACACAACCTATAGCAAAAATCTCTCTTAAAAAACCCCCCAAAACAAAAAAGCGTCTTTGCATCAGGGCCTCTGCAAACTTTATGCTGATGCGTGCCCTGAGTTTCCAGGACGGGACTCTGGCTCACACGTGACAGGAGCTAACTTGACCTTGGCCACATTCCCAGTAGAGCCTCTTCTGGGACCAGTTTTCCAGGGACGGCATCCTGGGAAAAGCTGACCTGGACACCCTGAAGATTCCTGTGTGCTCTGAGGCTCAAGGTTTTAGACCCAAGTAGGCAATCCAGCTTCCGCTGCCCCCCCGCAACAAAGGACTCACTTTTCCAGTCCATGTCCCCTGACACTGCCCGGTGCCAGGCCTTCACTCTCTCACTTAAATTACTCCACCAGTCTCCGCTGCTACGCCTCCGGCCCCCTGCTCCACGCGCTGCAGCTGGTCGGACCTGCCTTTGAACTCTGATCCTGTCAGCCGCTGCTCAGCTGCTCACGGA